GGGGGGGGGGGGGTAACGACTGAGTCGCCTCCACGGAAATGATAGGGCTCACCAATTACTTGGATGTTCGCCTCCTGAGCCAGACTAGTGACTCGAAACAGCACGAATCAAATTCCCCAAAAAACTCCATTAGGCTAAGGGCCGTTTTAAACAGAGCACTTTTTTTCAAATATTTGGAATGTTTCCAAATTTGGAAACTTTGCGCAGCGAGTTTGAAGGCAATAACTTCGGAAACTTTCCAAAAATTTGGAAGCTACCATTTCAAAGTTTTGGGGCCCTGGTCAATTCCAAATTTTTGGAAAAAATTCCAATTTTTTCGATGACTTCCAAGTTATTGGAATTTAGACATTTGGAAAAAGCAGCCATGATTAAAACGGTCCTAAACTGTCATTCCACATAGATTGGAGAAGACGTGAAACACGTGCGTGCCTCTAATTTCTTTCGTTTGTCGGTGTTGCCTGTCTCTTCAAAGGAAGCGGCCACGTCTTATCGAACAGCAAATACAGGCGACGCTCTACTGGTACCTACCTCTCTGTTGGCCACCGCCTGAACGTTGACCTGGAGGGGCACGAGGTCCTCTAACGTCTTGTAAACGTTGGCCTGTAAGAGAAAACATAAGGGGGAGGAGGAGGAGGAACAAGCGGTGCAACCACCAACAATAATAGCAGTGAGATAGCCGGCGTGTATGTCGGAGCTGGCTGGGCATCGTTGTCAAAATTCTAAGGCGCACGTAACAGAGGTTTAAGACAAAGGATAACAGCATCGCCACAACCTTTTCTTTCGTCGCCATCCTGTTGGCAGTTGCTTGCACGTTTCTACCCACGGCGGTGGTGTATTTCAGCTTTTAGTACAAAAAAAGCGCCGCCAACTTCTGGCGTGTAGACTTGCTCTCTTTAGCAACGGCACCAGCCATAAGCGGAAAACTACACTGCACGTTTCAAGAACTACTTCGTACGACGTCAGAGGTCAATAACAACGACCACAACAACAACAAACGAAAGGGAGACAAACGAATTTTCAAAAAACATCAAACTATGACACCACCACTAACAAGGGCGACGATGTTCTAGAAAAACATTAAAACTACGACATCATCATCAACAATATCAACGAGCAACACCAACACCACCGCCACCACCACCACCACCACCACCAACAACAACAATAACAACAACAACAACAACAGCAACAACAACAAATAACAACGATTAACACGAAAGCCAACCACAAAAGCCAACCTGGAACTCCTTGGCATCGTCGTTGGAGCAGGCGTACGGGTACGGCACTTGCTCGTAGCCCCACGAGGCTTCCAGCAGCTTGAGCGGGGCCAGCAGGCTTACGGTCTCGCTGATCTGGTGCACCGTGATGATTCTTGACAAGTGGTACTCGTTGCTGCGAACGTTTATAAAAAAGCCAATGGGGCGGGGGTAAGAACGAGTGCGAGCGAGGGGAATAGTTCTGGGAAAGGAGTTGGCCAGTGATAGCCATTGGGCGTGGATGCGGGGTCATCGTTATCGATGGTGAGTGTGTTAGTACGACCGGCCGACCAATGAAACGATGTCAGTCTCAATGTGCTTGAAAACAGAAAAGGCCTCTAAAGGTCATGATCTGGGATCCCGTGAGGGGGCGTGTGTGTGTATTAGCATCGACCGCGCTGACCCGCTCACCAATGAAAAGAAACAGTCTCAGTGCGGTGGAAAACCCAAAATTCTTCTGTAGGCCACGACCTGGGACTCTGTGACCAAGCGTCATGGGGGAGTCTACCCTAGTCTCCGGACTAAAGACAGATACCGTAGCAATACCAGAAGAACGCTGCACGTGTTTGCCATGCCTGCTACTACTTTGGATGCGGGTGTGTTTGTGTGTGTTTGTGTGCTAGTAGTTAGCATGGACCGCGTGCAATAGTTTGACGACTTCCGTGGCAAATCAGGGCTCTTCGCCGACAAGGCTCGCGCAGCACCACGACCCCTAAGCTAGCCGCCGTGAGAGACGTTTCGGAGTGTCCCGTGAACTGTCGGTGAGACCTGTACCCTGCTCAAAGACGTTTGCGAGGCTTCGGCGCCCTGTGAGCACATTCTACGCTACACGGATGACAGCTTCTCGTGGAGTTGATGTCACTCTCCGGTATGGGCACTTCCAAGGAACAAGCCTACTACCACGGTACAGCTGTCTCTCTGGGTGCTAGGCCATAGACGCGCTACGAGATTCGACCGCCCCCGTTGCGCGGAGCTAAGGTTTTGCTACCCTCGGGCAGGACCTAACCCCACCATCGTCCACAAGTTGGGGGTGCCTATTACAACCAACGGTATTTCAACAGCGATCGGTGACAAAACCAGCCCTTTAATGGTGTTTCAACAGTGATCAGTGACAAAACCAGCCCATTCCTATAAATGTCTCCCAGGGAGAAACAAAAAAGGAAGTTTCTTCCCTATGATAGCACAGGACGACTGACGAGAAAGACTGAGAATTGAGGCTTAGTAGACCATCCTGAACACAGCGCTACTCCTGCGGTCACCAACGAACCCGGTGCTACCTGCGCACGCGCACCTTATGAGGGTGAAGTGATACTTTTGTCTCGGCCACGCCGCAGACCTCCCCTCCCCTTCCCTCTCCCTTTCGTGAAGCTCCTCCCTCTCCATCCGGGACACCTCCTTTACCACGTTGTCCAGCGCCTCCTTCGTGCACGTGGACTCGCTCTCCACCAGTATGCCGATGTTTTCCGTGCCTACCTGAACAACGCCACAGAGGCCGACCGACCGACCGGTCGAGAAAGGACGAACAGAATATTATCCTATTGCGGTCACATCTCCAACGAGTACAAGTAGTCTTTGCGTGATGGTATGTACTGTCTGAAAAAGACGTGGGTTTAGTATTTCCGTTATTGTGTGTACTGTATGTATTGAAAGTAATTATTCCACCAAGGCGCCGCTCGCGTGCCCAGGTTAGGGGCGGACGTGCAAAATCGTAATCGGTGATGATGCTGGTGGCGCTTGTGTCGTTGTTTCCAGACAAAAGTGATGCCTATTGTAGGAATCGTTTTGTTCTCCCGAGACTCTTCTTGGTGCGCGTTGGATGGACTCAGTGCTCTCTTATCTGCGAGAGAAAAAACAAGACGTTTTCTGGGTCCACACCTGTGGTAAAACCACCGCTGTACACCAACCCTAGAGAGAAGTGAAGGCAACGCAGCGTCTAGAGCTATGGTATGGAAATTTCTTGGAACTTTACTTTGACTTGAGGGAGAGAGCGTTCTCGACAGCCTCTTTTGCCACCTGTCACCCGTCGAAGAAAGGCTACTGGTACACCATGGTGTCTTCTTCGTGGCATCTTCAGACCCGCTCTATAAATATTGACCAACAATTGTTCCGAGCCCACCCATGTTGCTATCATAAAAGAAATGTAGCGTTGTGTGCAAACGCCGCGACTGAAACGTTGTGGTGCTCAGAGACAAAATCACAGGAGCAAAGTGTGTCTGCGTGTCGCGAGTAGAATGTTGCAGGGTTTCATCGTAAAGGCCCAGGCATTTCCGGGCGACGCGCGCTCTGTCCCTTCGTACGACAAAACACAACGTTGTGCGCATCAGCCTAGACTTAACCACGAAAAAGAGCCTGCACGGGTATCGTCTATCTGCACCGTTGGAGACTTCCCATACGAAACGACAACGAAACGGAAAATCTGAAAAACAAGGTCATCGCACACAGCTCTCCGTGGTATTTTCAGTCCACAACTGATCGATGTTTGTCACCCCACTTGCCTCGTGTTGCTCGCACAGGTGGCGGAAGAAGACGTACCCCGCGGAGGCATCCGCGACCCTGTTGTCCCTCACGGTGCCCCCCGTAAAGCACACCAGGTCCGGCTGCAGCCGCCCGGACTTGAGCCCCTGCACAAGCCGTCTAATACGTGACGCATACTCTACCGTCACCTAGGAAGAGAGGGAGGCCGGAGGGGGGGGTCTGAGCGGTGGTGTTCACCCGGCATCCTTGTCTGATGACAGTGGACGCGCAATGCTTGCGTGAGGCCGGGGGGGGGAGGAGTCCACGCGTTGATTGTTTCGCGGGTTGGATTGGATTCGTTCGTCACGGCAGAGTTGGTGGATAACGCTGAGTACGGCTGCGATCCTACACAGCAGACTTGGGGGACAACACTGAGCGGCTGCGATGCTACACATAATGCACAAATTGGCGCAGCAGCGGGGTCGGCGGGAAACTGGGGTCCAGACCGCAACATCACAGCAGCTTTCAAAGAACGCAACAACAACATCAACAACAACCACTGATCAGCGCACCTGATCTCTGATTAAATGCTTCCCGATGACCACCAACACCTGCCGGAGTTCGGGGTTAAGCAGCTGATCGTCCTCGGACATCTACTGATAGGCAGTCGGGCAGAAACCAGCACGGGGGGGGGGGGGGGGGGGGGGG